CATATCTGTTATTAAATTTAATGAGTTTGTCATAATTGCTTAAATCTGTCACATTGATCTACTTTGACATGTCTAATTATCTTAATTAGCCATGAGTGATATGACCAGATGGACTGAGCTTTGTGTGACTTAATTATTGTTTATTTAAAATCATTATCTTTAACTCTACTTGTAAATCAAATAACTCATGTCATGTATTACTCAGAATTGTCAATTATCAAACTTGTCTATAAATACAAATTTTTGTTAACATTCGGAGAGTTGGAATCGGGACGCGCTTGTCCCTGATACTGTCCGACCCGACGAGAAATAAAGGTCTGCAAATCGTAAAGCGGCTTTAACTTCATTTACTAAATAGTCCACCCTAGTGGCTTTTACCGACAAGCCCACGCATCTAACGCGAGGGTGTGATATTATGAAAGCTAGGTTTCCATTTTTTGCTCAGAGTTTGTGTTTGCTTCCAAGAAGGTTGAACACAACATTTGAGGCATAATTTATTTAAAAACTTAGACACAAAAGAAGAAGTTGCTTTAAGATCAAGTTCAAAATAACTCTAAATACCCGCAATATCCATCTACACAGCTAGAAGATAATTAAAATCAATGTATGCGTGAAAAATGCCAAGTAATTAAAGCTTATTAGTAGCCTTAGAAATCAAGTAAAATAATTCATCTATGTTTTGAACAAAAAAATTGCTTTTATATTTATGAATAATGTTACATAGTGTACGAAAAATTTCAATAAATGCCTTCATCTCTGATATGTTTCGTATGCTCGGATAAAAATTAACTTGCACAGGGTTACATATATATTGCTGCTTTATCAGGTTGACCATTGTCAGAATAAGTGCCTGTTTGTTGGAGCGTGAATTACTTTTTCTATCAGGGGAATTGATTAAGAAAGGCAATGCTCAAATGTTTTAATTTTTAATTTTTTTTTTTGGGGGGGGGGATAATATATACCTTTAGTAATAGAAATTTAATGAATTAATCTAGTATTTATACGCAGTGGTTTGAAATTTTATCGTTAAGGTGTGTGTATTTTAAAAGAATGTCAGCATTTATGATTGAAAAGGTGTGAAAAATAATTGGGGAAAAAGGTGATGCTAAATATTCCCTTGATATTCTCTATATAGATGGGCTTTTTTGTAAATTCCATGTGAAATTGATCACTCAGTTCTGTCTTTTGAAGAACTACAGTTGCTTTCCATTTCTATATTAAATCTTACACAACATTTAAACTGCATTTCTTGCTTTTATGAAAGGACAGGGATAGCGAACAGAAATGATACTCAAAAGTCCGAATACATAGTACAATGTGCTTTTATTTTCTGCTGTTCCAAGATATTTTCATTCATCTTTAAATGTTACTTTCATTGAATCTTGAAGTGTAAAAATAGATCAAGAAAAACACAAATACAAGCATATACAATACAATACAATGCAATACAACACAATCATATCAGCCAAATATTTATTGATGATCTTAATTCATTGTTAATATTGTTCATGAATTTAATAATTTTGCAAGGAATTGAAATATTTTCTTTGTCATCGCCTGCATGTGGATTGGAACGTCTCAATGCAAATCAGGCATTAATCGAGGCACTTAATGTTATTTTTTTCTAATATGTCCGAATAAATATCTAATTTATCCGAACAAATATCTAATATGCCCGAACAATTATATTTAGGTTGTACAAACGAATTAATAATTTGTCGGAGCAAATAAAAATAGTTTTTTGTGTCCGACTTCAATCGGATCACGTTCGCCCTTTTCCGTAACCAATATTTAGGGTTACGGAAATGGCTGAGTAGTAACGATTGATCCGACTTTATTCAATATGCAAGAGGGTGCTCTACGTACGAACAATTTCTGAAAAGAGGCAAGATATTGACAAACAAGTTGATACACAAGAATATGATCATTCGCGTTTTCAAGTAACCATTTCATATATTCTATGGGCGATAGAATGACTTTGTCAGCAAATACAATCTATCGTTAAGTCGAATTTTGACTGACGTATTTCATACAAAGTGTAAGGCTGTTATTTTCTGTTTACCAATTTTCGCGTTTGTCCCGATCATGACCAGGCGTGCACATACTTCGGAATCGGCTGAGACCGATCGATAGGAGATGCTCACTCTTCCACGGCACCTGATCTCACTTCTGATGTTTTGAGATGTTCATGTTTGCTCCTCTCCCAATTCATTTTGTTCAAATGAACTTCTAAGCTTGATTCCTGTTCGTTATCTCCATAGTTTAGAAATGAATAAACTAGCATGTGAATGTATGTAAGTTCTGGGAATCACTTATTTGTAAAAAAAAAAAAAAAAAAAAACCGTAATTCCTCGACACCCATTTGGCCGCAAAAATAACAAGAGGCCAATGGGCCTTATAGGTCACATGAGCATCATGCAACAACTTTCCAACGATTGAATTTGGTTCATGTTTTAAACTAGACGTCATGGCATTCACAATTTTGAAAGAGGCACCATTGCTAATCATAACTATACACTTAGCATGCTTAGTTTGGTTACTTAATACCAATAGACAGAGTAGGGGAAAAAAAGATGCATTTTAACTAATCAGAACTATTCAGGAATAATCAGTAGAGCCACTACCACACATGGACCCCTGATCCTTGGTCCATACATTTCATAATTTTGGAAAAGGCACTCTTGCTTTTTAAAGATGTTTGATTAATACCAAGAAGCAGATTTCAAACAATTAAATTATTTTCACTATATAAGAAGAGCCCCCCCCCCAACTATGGTACCCCTGTACCAGGGGCCGTGAAATTCACAATTCAGGAAGAATGGCCCTCGCTCATCATAGCTGTATAGGTAGTAGGGCGGGGCTCTATTGATTATATAGATATTTCACCACCCACACGCGCCCTCGAATTGGAGTGCAAGTGTTTTTAGAAGACGACCGTGCAGTGTGCAATTTAACTGTGCAACCAATTTACTTGTCAATTTTGCATGCACTAAATTAAAGTGTATTTACCAACCCACCCACCAAACTGACTGTAGTAAAACTTAAAATGTCTGGAAACGTCATTATGCACTGTGGTTTGCAGAGTATTGTCTGGCATCAGAATGAAGCCATTCAAAGCATGGTAGGGATTTAACTATAAGGTATTATTTATATTATTCAGAAATTCTTTGAAAATCATCTTCTCTTCTCCTGGGTATTAAACAAACAAAGCATACAGTTATAATGAGGAAGAATGTCTCTTCCAAAATTGTGAATTTTATGGCCCCAGGGTCAGGAGTTCTAGTGTAAGGGCGGGGCTCTATTGATTATATAGTGAAAATACATTAATTCTTTGCAAATTTTCTTCTCTGCACCTAGGTATTAAATAAACTTACTAAGTTAATAGTTATGATGAGGAAGAATGCCTTTTTTGATATTTTTGTTCAATTTTGTTTGCTTTTGTTATAAGAATGCCTCTTCCAAAATTGTGAATTTTATGGCCCCAGGGTGAGGGGTTTTAGTGTTAGGGTGGGTCTGTATTGATTATATAGAGAAAATGCAGAAATTCTTTGAAAATCTTCTTCTATGCTCCTGGGTATTAAATAAACTAACTAAGTATATAGTTATGATGAGGAGGAATGCTTCTTCCAAAATCATTAATTTTATGGCCCCAGGGTTACGAGTTCTGGTCTTAGGGCAGGGCTCTATTGATCATATAGTGAACATACATTAAAACTTTGAAGATATTTCTCTATATAATCAATAGAGCCCCTCCCCCCCCCCCAGCACTAGAACCCCTGACCCCGGGGCCATGAATTTCACAATTTTGGTAGAGGACTCAATGGTCATTACATTCATGCTAACAGTTTTACCGCTTGATGTCCAGGAGTAAAGAAGAAGATTTTTAAAGATTGCATTTTTAGTGATTTTGGCCCCATTCCTCAGGTCCCAGGAGGCAGGGACCATGAAATTCACAATTTTCGTTCCCCTTCACCCATAGATGCTTTATGCAAAATTTGGTGGAAATTGGTTGAGTGGTTGCAGAGAAGAAGTTAAAAATGTTTAAAAGTTTACTACCGATTGACGACAAACGACGTACGACGAAGGACGAAAACAGTTAGCAATTGGTCATCTGAGTGACTCAGGTGACCTAAAAATGATAATTCTGAAACATTATTGCACATCTACAAAATACCTACGACATCTCAAAGATGATTTGTATACCGCTTAAGGACAGACGAGACGTTCCTTAATAATAGATAAAATTTTATAAGAGTTTATCATTAAAGTGTTGCTACTTAAACATGTTTACTCACAAAAAATGGAGGTACCTTACCAGGCATTTCTGCAAGATACCAGGGGTAGTTTTTCTTATATAATCCTTTGGGGAAGAAAAATAATTTTCCAGTTTCAAATATTTAAGTGTTTGGATTTTTTAAAAACCTTTAGAAACTGGTTTAGAAATCAGAATGTCATTAAAATTTTGAATATTTTTCATACATTACAAAGATATACAAAACAGATTTTGAGGAACGTCTCGTCTGCTCTTAAAAAGAAAATGGAGTTCCGGGTTCTATAGGTTGTTGAAAAAGTCGTATTTTAACATCATTTGTCTAATAGTGTGAAAATGAATAGTACGTTCTTGAATATCTTCAGGACAGTACTAAGCACCATCAAAAAGATATTTTGACTGCTGCGTAAAATATAAGATGAGTTTTGGGAAACCCCCGGGTGAAACTTTCAAATTCCGAAACGTAATTAGACATAAACTGAACAGAAATAACCTTCTTTGGTGAAACTAAAATCTATTGGTCGTCTACAAAGTTAGTTACTGATTTATTTATTACTGATTAAAATAAAAAAGGAATTTTATGAAGGATGAAGTGTGATAGACGGACGGATGGACTAGAATAATAGTATGTTCGAACTTTCTTCACAAATTGCGAGTATAATGATAAATTTAATACAACAAGGGTGAAGTAATACATTTAGTTTTTGCGTCATACATGTATCATCATCACCGCCCTTTTAAGAGCTACATATCCACTGGTCCAGGTATGCCAATACAGATATCTTCCGCCATACGCAGCAGACTGGGCGTATTCTCCGTTCAGGTTTGAGTTTGTGCAGGCATTGTACCATCAGGCTCCGTGAAATTCTACAGCACAGTTACTGGTACTCTTTTTGTCATTGTCCTGATCTTTAGTGGTAAATTTCATCAAATTGTGATAACCCAAGCCGTTACCTGCGACAGAATATTGGTATTATTAAAATTTGTTGCTTATTGAAATGAATAAGGATTAAGATACAAGTATAAACATTTATAGCTTCATTGCCCTGAAATTCACTAAAACAATCTACATGCAGTGTATTAGTAACAGAGAAATCTGCAATACAGAACTTTGTCAAAACTGAGTAAAGAACAGGCACGTAGCATCGATTTTGAAAGTGGGGGGGGGGGGGGCAGCCACAGAATTTTTTTTTTTACTTACCTGAAAAAGTTGACAAGCAAAAAGAAAAAGGGGGAATTTCCCAAAGTCGAAAATCCTATTTCGTGGGGGGGGGGGGGGGGGGGGGGGGGGGGGGGGGGGGGGGGGGGGGGGGGGGGGGGGGGGGCAAGGGGGTAAAGGCAAACTTTTTTCACTACCAATTCCTTCAAATATCCATTTTTTAAGCTTACAATACCATATTTCCTTCATTATACTTTACTTTACTATAAAGTGGGGGGCCAACCAGCCTTTCAATGAACATTTTCAATAGTAAAAGTATTGTTGGCAAAAAAAGTGGGGGGGGGGGGGGGGGGGGGGGGCAGGCCCCCCCTGGCCCCCCTGTTGCTACGTCCCTGAAGAATTCGAAGGTGAACCTGATACAAAAGTGTTTGATATCACTCGAAAACAATATTATTCTTTACATTTTAAAGACACTTTTACTTTAATCAGGACAATTTAGTTTATCTAATTTTGATGTTTTAACAAGTGACTGATTGCAATACTCTTGTCCATGTGTCATTATCATTATAAAAGAAAACCCATTTTGTTACATGTAAGCACTGGATCCACTGATAACAATTTTTTTTTTCAATTTACAGTTTTTTTTTACAGATGTTTTTCAAGTTTATTGAATATAGAAGATAGCGAACAGCAATGCATTCAAATGTTGAACTGTGTTTAATATTTTAACCAATACGTCGCATTTTTGACAAGACGTCTACGATTTCGACATTAAAACCATATATTAAAACTTTCTATTATTGTTCTATTATTCTATTACTGAAGGGGTTTTTTTTGTAGCTTTATAAATCGTTGACTTGTCTCTCTCAAGTATTGTTATCAATAAATCATTGTATATAAACCAATACCTCTTTTGTTTACTTGATTTTTCAATCATCGATGATGACTTCTATATCATGTAATAATAGTGTGAGGTGAGATGTTTTAAACAGTCCTACCTGCGGTGCCTGAATATCCGGACAGAGTCAATGTATATTTAGTGCTTTCGTTGCCGACAGAGAAAGAGGAGTACAGGGCATGTGCTTCAGCGCCATTAAATTGTTCTAGCTCAACCCGGAGTTCCTGGTCCTTTTTCTTTGTCAACTCATAGATTGCGTCATTTCCTTTAAACAGAAATATGGAAAAATATGTTGTTTATCCACATATTTTATCGAAATAAAAACTCCAAAGGAGATCTTTATAATTCTAATTACCTTAAGATTTTATTAAGTAAAATTTACTGGTTCACAAATCGTATTTGATTCTAATAGTGCATACCGGGTACTGAAATGTAAAACCTTAAAATAACAAGCAGTGATGGATCTAAAGAAAAATGCATGCACAAAATATCAGTGAAGAAGGTATGCTATAGAACGCAGACACTCGGAAATTTTAAAGGTGGGATCAATTGCCTTGGAGAAGTAAGCATCCCGTAGTTAATTAGTAAGAAATGTGCCATATTCGTAGGTTTGTATTTTTTTTTTCGGGGGTGGGGGGGGGGATTCTATCAATGGGCGTTATCGTCATCTCTTTCATTATTGATAATTTTCCAATTTTCTCATTCACCGATTTTCTAAAAGCTAAAATAATTTAATAAAGAAAACAGCAGACCCACCTAACCAGTAGCTTTTAGAGGCATTCCCAAATCCGTGTTTGTACGCATTCCATGTCCTGTAAAACTCTTCTTCATCTTCTCGTTTTTGAATGACCTGTAAAAAGTGTATGGCATTTATTTCATTGAAACTATGTAGAGATACAGTCATGTATGCAAAAAATGATTACCAAAATACTTCCTAGATATTCTTGTAAGTTCCAGACGTTAATATCTGATAAATGCCACTGACTACTATTACATGATTCAGAGATGTTGAGTTCTTTTTTATTTCAAAATTTGGTTAGTTGAAAGTTTCAAAATCTTTTGCGTAGTTTTTCTGTTTTATTTTGTTTTGTTTTTTTTTCTATTGAATCTGACTGAATCTCATCGTGTGGGGGGAAAGCCTGGATGTTTGCTATACAAGCCTATACTTCAGGCCCATTGGTAATTTTTCAGTTTCAGTCCTATTGCAAGATACCTTATTATCCCCATATAGGCCCTTATATCATGTAGTTAGAAAATGTTGCATTTCGTTATCTTTTATTGATAAATTATTAACCTTTGAAATCTGAAACTGCCTTAAAAAGGCATACCTCTAAAAAAAGGTTTAAAATGACAAAAATAAAAAAGAAATACTCACCGTCCACCCTCCCTCATCTGTCGTCATGTCACAGAAGACCTCCCTCCAGGTGTTGTTGATATATATAACATACACCCCATCTTGTCCTTTTCTTCTTGGGTCTTTTCGTAAAATTTCTGAACAATCCATATAACCTATTTGATATTAAAAAAAATCATGATTTGTCGCTCTTATAATACCACTTGCCCTTGATATATTTTCAAACATATCATCGGTTTAAGTGCTGTCTTACAATATAGTAGAATAATCTCTGATCTGTCAGTGATTTACTACATACGGAAAAGTTGTTCCATGTAATATTTTAAAATATTATATTTATGGAACCCATTTATCTCATGGATCTTGGGAAAAAAGTTCCCCAACATACGAGTGTTATCTCGACTGAGCTGAAGGCTCAAGTGTCATCTTTTCTCATCAAGATCTTTGTCATTGTTATTGTTTTTGTCGTAAATTTTTTTACAATTATCTTATTCTCAAGAAATGTTCGGCAAATTTAAACAGAACTGAATAAAAGATTTCCGGCGAAAAGGAAGTCATTTTTTAAAGGAAGGATCAAGCTCTCTTCAAGGAAATATAAGAATAACTTCTCAAAAAAAAAATATTCTTCTAAAGAACCACTGAGTCAGAAAAGTTTAAAATTATTTGAAATTTTCACTGCATAGTGTATTTTTATTTTAACTCAATCACTGCTCCCAGGGATAGAGTGGGACTATAAGAGGCAATCAAAGTTTACACGTGAACACATAAGAAAAATCTTTTCAAGAACAAATTTGGCAAAAACAACGAAAATATAAACATTTAAAAGCTTCATTACTTATTGTGGAGTTTAAATTGCTCTTACAAAACATTATTCCTCCTACTGTATTATTCAATTTGAATGAAACTGCACAAGTAGATTAAGCTAAGATACACAATTCTGTTTATCGTCTTTGATTTTCTAGAACAGTATTATCATGGTTAAAAATAGAGTCAAAACATTGTTGTCTCTAAACTAGATGGGATACATATTTAAGTTTGAGATATTTGATGACGATAATACCTTGAAATGATTAGTGGGTTCTGGGAACATGGTTTACTTTGGTATAGAAAGAACAAAATCTATTTACCCCAAGTATATCAATGTAAACTTTGAAATCTTATTGCTCATCGAAAGGATACTACCAAACATGAGATGATAATGCTACTGTGTAAAATACAATGGTAGCAAGGTTGTTTTTTTTCTTACTACAAAACATGCCTTTTCACCCTATTTGAATGCCATCTTCCAAAAGGCGACTAGGATACGTATAAAATGTTAGAAGAGTTCTCGGAACCAGGTTTCTGTCTACGTTTTGCCCCTGGTGTAAAATTGAAAATTACAAAGTATTATTGCAAATTCACTGGACAAAAGATAAATTGAATTCTGCTTAAAATGTAGAAGCAGTAAGATCAATTGGTTACTGTTAACAAGAGGAGTTTGAGGAAATAGAATCGAAAGTTTGCGAGAAAAACGACGAAAATGGTTACAACAATATATCCAAACTTTCTTTAGATAGTGCGGGTTATGAATTTATAAAAAGAAATAGAACAGAAAAGAGACGGAATTTGATTTAGATTGATTGTATATTGTTTAACGTCAATCTCGAGAAAAAAACCTGTTAAATATTACAGCCATCACCTAGAGAGATATGTGGAGACATATTTTACCTTTTAAAACAGGTACACAGTTTCCCTGGATACAAACAGAGTCCTCGTCACAGGTATGGTTGAAACAATCACCAGCTAAGTGCTGCAAGAAAAATAGCTCAAAAATAAGTTATGAATCATTTAATTATTAAATGTTTATAAATTTATTGTGTACACATTTCAATGTTTCTATCTAAACATGCCACACGACACCTATACTCACCTCTGGAATTTTTTCCCGGTTGACATGAATGATGCCGTCTTCGGTCATTAAACCAGTGCCATTTCTGATGGTGAATCTTGTGTTAAGCTGGCATGTTTTTATTTCCCGAGTCCAATCCAGAGAAAGACACATTTTAAACTTTGTACAAACAATCATGCACATTACCAAGTCAGAATTGTTCAAAATCTTAAAACCAGGCGCTGAATAATCTGTATAGTTGTGCATAATTAGAGTTTTCGGATCGAAGCATTGAGAGTAGCACGTCTGTAGCAAAGCCAGGACTTGTCCAACGAAGAACAACCTGAACATTTTAGGACGTTTTACTAATTCCATTTTAAAATTTTAGCGAACATTTTTACTTCTGTTGATGTTTTCCAGATTTTTTCCCACTCCTCTGTAATGTATACATCTAGGGTTCAGGTCCACAAACTAAAGATTAATAATTTCTCTCTCACTAAATGACGTTACAGAGTGCGATGTTTAAAGATGATAATGCAATTATTTTTAACTTTGAAATCGATAAACTTTAACGATTTCAATTTGAAGTTACTATAAATAATTTAAAGTTTTTTTGGTCTACGCTTTGAGCTCAAAACACCGAATACATAAAATATGTTAAAAAAAAAACACCATAACATTTTAATGTTTCTCTGTAGTCATGATGTTTCCATACAATATTCCTTTCGTGCATAACATTTAAAATGTAATATATTTCAGTACATTGGTTGTTTCATTTGTTTGAATGGTTGAACATTGAATGTTCAGCACAAGTAAATCATGATCAATCTCTATATTGTGTTCTTTAATATGTTTTCATAAATGTCTTTTTGTCGCAAAATATCCAAATATTAAGCGTTTTATTTTCATATATGTAGGACTCCAAATTGCGATGGGACTCCAAGGTCCGATCGATGGTATGCGCCAAATTCCGATGGTTTGACACGCCAAAGTCCGATAGTGCGGAAAACAATTAAAGTTGATGACGTCGTCGTACTACTGCGCAAAAATGCAATGCTGCGACATGCAAAGGCACGATTATTTGAAATAAATATAAATATTAAATGCAAATGTTAATCATCATCTTTTGGATATAGGCGCGAGACTAACCCTAATCAGTCGAAAAATGCATAATACTCAGCAACTTTAACCTAAATATCTTGGGAGGGTGCTGGACTAATCCAAATCAGCCGATGACTAGGCTAGCTCTTAAATCTCTCTGATGGGTTCGAACAAACACATCATCAATACAACAGTGTTCAAGGACTAAACCTTATCAGTCGAGTGGTGTGCGAGGACTAACCCTAACTAATGCCTCTAGTGGGTATAAACAATAAGCAAAATCATTAAAATTTGTATACATGAGAAGAATACTGATTCAATGGATTTTGAATGCAGGAGAACGTCATGACGTCGGGCTAGTGTGACGTCATGAACGTCGATTGTTCCTACGCACCATCGGACGTTTGCGTATCTGACCATTAAGTGCAACGTGTCTCATAGGAAACGAGCCATCGAACTTTGGAATCCTTAAAGACAGCGAGCTGTCGGTCTTTGGCGCAGACCATCGCGGTTTGCTGAGACCATCGCACTTTGGCGTCACCATCGCACTTTGGAGTCTTACATATATATTATAATTTCTGTTGGATAAAAATCCTGACACTTTAAAATTATCAGATGGGAGTTAAAATCTCTCTTTAAGAGACTGAGGGGCATTTTGAAGATCATCTTATTTATTCAGATGTGCTAAAAAATAAGATCAATTAACCGATCAATTGTGCTTATCCAATTTGACGAAGCACTGGTACCAAAATTGTCTTTGCGTCTCTCAATATTGTTCCCATGCTTTGGCCAAAGCTAGGGGGACATTAAATCTCATCCTCAGACTGTCAGTCTGTTCGTCTGTCACAGAAATATAATCTTGGCCATAACTTTTGAATATGAGATAGGACTTTCATATTTCACATGTGCGTTACCTGTGACAAGATATCAAATTATGACCTTGCGTATAGATTCTGCAAACTCCCCTTTGATAAATAACAGAAAATCTTTTCTACACTGTAACTTTACATTTTTAATTCACAAAACATACTATACAACAAAATAAATTGGTTTGGTGCGTGCTCGTCCGTGTCCCTCGAATGTCTGCAGTCTATGGTTTTGTTCCATACGGTGTTTGGGTTACACTACTTGGAATGAAAGAAATTTAAAAGTATAATCCAGAAAATTCAGATAAGAAATGTTCGAGAGCAAAACATACACACAGTATATTGTCAGTCCGTGCAGTTGTGGTGAGCAGACTTTAACAATTGAACACATCCTGTGAATAGTAAACCTTCACAATAACAGAGCTCGTGCCCTGTTTATAAAAAAACTGTACGTTTCATGGATTTGTTCAATTTGCTAAACTCTGTACACAACTCTAAGAGCATAATGACGATACTTGTGAAGGGGTTTTGCCTTCGAACATTTCTACTCTAAATAAAATTCCTTTTCTTGATTAAAGTTTTGATATTTTTCAGTAATATACAACAAGTTTGCCACTTTTCATACGCATTTAGAATAAAATTAAAATTTGTGAAATGAAGGATATGAAGATAACGGATAGTATTCATTATAGAAGTCCAGAAAACAATACAAAATAAGAGCAGGGCAAACATGGACCTCCAAAACATCGGAGATTGGATCAGGTGTCATGGAGGAGTGAACATCCGCTGCTGACCAGTTAAACCTGGCGTGTGCTCCTTGTCATGATCGGGAAATAACTGAAAAATCCGTCGTAAATTCAGTTATGAATAAAGGACTAACAATATGTATGAAAAACGTCAGTCAGCATTTGATAAATTGTATTTGCTATTGCTAATGTTATTGACAAGATAACTATATCGACCAAAGAACTTTCGCTATGATGACTTTAAACGAGACCGCTGAAATTCTTGTTTCAATTTTTCTTTTATTTTATAAATATTGAATATTTTATACAATTCAGTAATGAAATGTTTCTTACAAGATTTAATAATTTACACAAGGTTAATTGTGAATAAATACAAAAATGAATGTATAAAGAAAAAATAAAGATGTCATAAAAAGAATTTTAACTGAAGGAGCCGTCATTGGAAGCCACTAACAAGTTAGATACACACATAATT